GCAAGCAAAGTAGCACGAAATATGCTGTTTGCACACAAAGCAAGTATTCTACAGAAAGCTTTAGCTTTGCCATCAGCTGGCATGGCTCACATTCCCACGCTGTGCGCCGACGCCATGCTGCTGCATAGCTGACCCCATTTACACCATCTCCCGTTTACACCAGGAATACACAGGCAGCTACAGAGTAAATGGTCCAAAAATGCATTCAGCAAACTACTGTGTCAGCTTCTCAGCTAAAATGTCCCTGATTTCAGCATTGTGCTCCAACATTCATCCACCCCTCATAAATCATGAGCTAGACTGCTGCAGTGAACAAGTACAGGGGAAATTTCAGATGTATAAAGTAGAAATTGTGAGAGTGAGTAGAAAAGTGAGGGTGACTGAGCACTGGCACAGGTTGCCCAGGGAGGTTGTGGAGTCTCCATCCTTGGAGATAATTCAAAAGCCGTATGGACATGGTCCTGGGCAACCAGTCTAGGTGTCCCTGCTTGAACACGAGGTCGGACAAGATGACCTCCAGAGGTGTCTTCCAACCTCAACTGTTCTGTGATTCTGTGAAATTGTTCCTATGCAAGACTACTATGAACTGTAATATTTAACAGTATTTGCATAACTTTTGCGGTTGAAAAAGGATATCCTTAACCTATTACTTATATAACAAATATTTTAACTGAACTATCATTACTAGCTGGGTAATTCTTCTGACTGTATTTCAAATTTAATTTCATTCTGTGGTAGCATTCACTGAACTTTACAAGACAAAGGTATTAATGAGTTCTGTGTCTGAACACTCTGGGGTCTAGAAAACTGTCTTAAAAGGCCACATTTCCAGAGACTCCTGCATAGAAAACACATTGGTGTTTCCTGAAGAAACTCAGTGAGTTCATAAGGAACCATTACATTGATAAATTATGTCAATGAGGCTTTTGAAAGAAGACTGTTCACTTAGTGCTACTTTTCCCTGAACGTGGAAGCTATGGAAAATGTGTGGAAAACATTTGCAAGGTGATGACTGCAGCTATATGCTCTACATGTTGCTGTTAATGAGCTATCTGTTAACAAACCATATGCTTCAGCACATAAACAGGAGGATTTATGCTTAATGCAAAACCCATAAAAAGACTTACTGTTTGGTACAACTGGTTCCCAAATCAGACAGGCACATTGCTCTAGTCTTCCATGAACTTCCTGTTACCAGTATAAAAATCTGCTGCCTACAGGCTTGAAGTCCCTTTTCAGCCTGAGCAATGTTGAATTAGCTGTTTCTCCCCACTTTGCCTAGAGGCGGTCACTGCGTATCACCAGTCAAAGTACTACCAATGAACTTGTTGCCAAAGACCAGAAGTGTGTACATGTGTGCACATGTGAGGTTGTCTGGGGAGCAGGGGACTAGAGAAGCAGAGAATTTAACGAGCATCAGGTCCTTCAGGTCTCTGCTTTGTACAGCCTGGGATCGTAACCTTGTCATCATGGTTACTAACACCAAGCAGACAGTATCCGTGGAATATTCCCAATCCTAATGATTTGTGGAGGCAAGTTCATCTTGTTATTTTACCGTGTTCTTCTGTACTAGAGCTTTATGTGTTAATTAGCACTACTAAAGCCCTAAACAAGCCCCTCTTCTTCAAAACAGACAAAAGCAACCATTGGGTTTATTCACAATAATTCTTGGATCAGTTAAAGAAACCACATTCACCAACAGGAAAAGAGAAGTAAATTTCTAAGCTATTGAATAACACTGCTATGTTTGGAAAGGATTTTTCTTTTGTAATTCCCCTTTAATTTCCTCCCATCCAGAGCTGCTGAGAGGAATCTGAAGCTAGGTTTTCACGAGTGACTAAAGGAGTCCAGCAACTGACTCTTGTTTAAAATCAATGGTCCTGGAAATGTAAGGTAACATTTCCATAAACATATGAGTAATTTGAGGTTTAAGTTCCACTAAAAATCATCCAGTACTTCCAGCTCCCCAAGTCAGACAGGGAAAAGGCAGACCGGTAAACTAATCCTTATTATCAGATAAGCAGGGATTGAATGAAGGAACATAAAGCACGAGAAAATGAGGAGGAAACTGAGGACAGAGAAGACAACTATGTTCAAGAAGTTTATACACTGAGAAGCATAAAAGGCAGTTCAACAGGAAAAAGGATAGACAGAAAGAATATCGGACTATATAAACTGAAACATTACTTTCAGTCGCTTAGATTTTCTTTTGATTTTGAGATATGACCTCAGTAAACCCACAAAATTGTATAACTTCATCACCTGACTCAGTGCCTCTGCACTCAGCACAAGACATTTTTTTCATTCTGCTTCCTGATCAGATTAGAAAGTGTCTGAAGTTACACTGTGCATTCTAGTAACCTTTCTGAATAGTTTTGCTTTCTTCATTTCAATTGTCATTTTTCAATTTAGAAATATTATTAAAATACCACATTTGGGTGGGTAGTGACTACCATGACACTGGGTAGAAAACCAAAGCAATTGGAAGCAAGCTAGACATTCTGAGTACATTTTTAAAATACCTTGTTGCTTAAATAAAATAAACTTAAATCCCTTAGTCTAGCAATTACTTTCAGATGTTTGATTGTTTATTTTTAAAGAACTGTCATATCAACCATTTAGAACCGACAAGTACTATTTTGATATCTTCACGAGTTTTCTCTAACATCTGCTCCCTGCCTTATTTTGGGAACTACATACTCATCTTCATTGTCTCTTGTATTTATCTTAATTTTGCTGTATTTTATTTTATTAGAGGAAAAACTTAGCAGAGCTGTTTGTGGCAAGATTTAGTTACAGGAAACCCAAAAGCTAAGCCCCAGTTTCAGCTGAGACAATTAGACTGTTGATTTTGGTAGCAGCTCAGGACTTCTATTGGACCCAAACGCCTTCCAAGTCTATCTGCCAGTTGATGCTCAAGTCTGAAAATTTTCTGTATTCTTGCTACAGATAAAGGGCTTTGTTTCCTTTTAATTTGAGGGATATTTCTACCCAGATCTGAATGTTTTGCTGAAATTCTTCTCTATTCACTGGAATAGATTAAAAAAAAAGGAAATAGTAACATTTTCCAGAACTTTCAACCCTTGTTTAAGGCTTTTTTCCCCCTAAATTCTCTGTTCCTTGATTGCTGTGAATTGTTGTGGACAGTGTTTGTTTTTCTCAAAGCAATTTTGCCATGCACGAAAAGTAGCAGGTGCTAATTTGTAATGCTTAGCTTAACCGTTGCTTTTTTCTGTCTAGTAAGTATATTCAAGAGCTCATATTACTGTTTCACCTGCTGTAGGTAAAGGACTCTAAAATGCTGAACACGTGATACTTTTTTAAAAGTGATCTATGTTGCTACCTAACACCAGAAGATCTGTATCGAAAGGTTTGAAGAAATTACTAATAAAAAAAAGCAGTGTTCTTATACAGTCTTTTCATCAACTGCTATAGAAACTTTGCAGCCGAGTTACCATTCATAGTCCACTGCCATTCTTGGATGGATGTTTTATTGCTAGGTGGATTGGGTTCTAAAATTTTCTTATGGATGCTCTGGGAGAATGTAAATACTAGCCGGGAAGTGTTCTATTCTCTATTTCTGTTTTGTGGGCTGGAGCCTTGGGCTATACAATTTCCTTTTTGTTTGTTTGTTTCTTTTTTCTTTTTTTTCCGTGTTAGACTTTTATAGCCCCCGAGGTGGGGCGGGTGACGGCAGCTGATGCCGGGTGGAACGGTTACCAGGGACAGCTCCGGCGGCGGGCACCGCCAGAGAACCGG